AAAATATTTGTGATTTTGAATCCAAAATAAAATGACCTCAGATGTGATAACATTTTTAATGAAGGGACGATTTGGAGAAACCAGCGAGAAAATAGAGCGCAAAATGTTAAGGGTTGATGGCATACCGCTGAAGCTGTCTGTCAGAGTCGATGTAAATGGGATTTGTATTCAAATTTTACATTTGTTGATAATGTAGATTTATAGACAAAGAAGCCTTTGTGACTGTAGTCAAGCGACTGAAGACAAGGCATCTATCACCAGTTTGTGGGCAATTATCCAAATATCTCCTTAACGTAACAGTCTCAGTGGTTCTAACAGAAGTGTTAAAGGATTTTGAACGATTGATTTGCCCATGCTGGATAAGGTTCGAAATGAACGATATTGAATAGCGGATAACTCATGATCATTTTTACCGTAAGTACCAACAAAGGCATTGTTCATGACATAATTCTGTCAACGATTAAAATGGCTCGATTTAATTCTTCTAACACCTAAACTGATAAATCTGCTGCACACAAAATCGATACAAATTTTGTTACGTTAATGAGGAAGATATGCAAATCAGTAATCCGAATGTGTAACCCCTTAAGCAGAATTTCTTCGGTATCAATACTGATGCTGACAAAAATCTAAATCTCTAACACCCTCGAATACCCCATAGATCGTACCGGCAAACTACTTTCCTATAGAATGCCTACGTCATACGCATAACATACCCACTAAGTTTCAGGTTTTTTTGATTAGGCTGTGGGTTGAGCCGTCATGGGTTTATGATAAAGTCTTTCAAGCGTTGCCACATAGAAGATATTGATGATATTAATACTTAGAATATGAAATGTTTTTTTTACAAGCATGTAAATAACTATAGGACAGCATAGATTTTGACTAATACAGTGCGTTGATCGTAGCAACCGTATAAATTCACAATACGTTTTAGGTTATAGGACGATTTTGTGCAAATGAAAAATATTAAAGAAAAAAAATCGTATTTTGTGCATTTGACAGGTGGCATGAATTTTCACAAATTATTATTTTAGCTAAAAAAAAGAGTTCAAAACAATATTTGTAAATTAAAGAAAAAAACAAAAATTTATTTTTTTAATTATATATTTATTTTTTTGTTTATTTAATATTTTATTTGCCTTAATTTTGCATTTTCATGCATGCAATTGACGTAGAAAAAAAAGAACTAAATAAAATTAAGTGTAAATACAACAGTTTTTTTTTTACATAACTAAACAAAACATAAATTTTTAACAAACTTTACAGAAGTTTCAAAATTGCGCCAAGCACATAAGTAATTGTTTATAATATTTATTTTTTTTTCACTTTTATTTGAAAAATGTTGATTAAATCAAATAAGAAACATTAAGAGTTTTCACTAAAGCGCGCTAAAGACATTTAAAAGATATACACATAAAAATAAAAAAGATTTTAAATTTTAAATTTAAGAAAATATTTTTTTGTTTGTTATTTTTTGTTTTTAAATCAAATACGAGCAATACATTAAATGGCTGTGTGCGCGAAAAACCTTACACGTATACATACATTTACAATAAAAACTATGCTATGTATATGTATATTAATCTTATATATAATTTCACTGGTTCGTCGTTTGCTCGATATGCTGAACTGAGTTCCGGGCAAAAAAAAAAAAAAAAGACGAAAAAAAAGAAAAAATTGCTATACATTTCTTTGTATGCCCTCGACTGCACTTAAATAACTAAATTTACTTGCTAATGCAACTTAAGACTGTGCTATGCTTGCTTATGAGTGAAAATATTGTATACATATGTATAAATATATATATATATATATATTATATACGCATAAGTAGGTATATGCTAAGTATGATTTTATGTTGTTTTTTGTTTCTTTTTTCCTTTTTTTGTTTTGAAAACATTTAAAAACATTAATATATAACATGAAACATTTATGTAGAAACAAATGTAAATTTTTTGGACGTTTTCTTTTTAGTTCCACTATTTAATTTTTTTTTTGAATTTACCACAATTATTCATAATAAATAAATTAGTATAGAAATTTAGTAATTGCAGTTTATTAGTTTAAGGTTTTGTTTTAGTGAGTGCTTAAGTGCTAAAAAATTAATACTAGTTTTAATTTGTTTAAGAAAATAAAATAAATAATCATTTTTATGAAAAAAATTAGCTAATAATGAGGCGTTTTTTATTTAAATTATTTTAATTTGTTATTAAATTTAATATTAGTTTGAATTGTTTAGGTTTTATTATTTTAAATAATTTTCGTGTTTTTTTTTTAGTTAAAGTTTAAAATTAAAATTAATTTATTACAAATGAGATCACAGTATTAGAGATATAAGTTAATTGAAGTTCTGCTTTGCGCTAAAACGTCTCAATTTTTGCTTAAACAAAATGTTCATTTTCTTTAAGTAAAATTATTTTTTTTTTCGCATTGCAATATATTTTTCACACTCTCGTGTGTAAATCAAATTTTTGCGCATATTAGTAATTATTTTTTTGTTATTGCATTTGATTAGTGTTGTTCTTTTTTTCAAATAACAACATTTTGCATTTATTGAAAAAAATATATATATATTGTTTTAGTGATTTCAAGTGGAAATTCTTTTATATCATTACACATTCACAATGTGACATGTTTCGTGTGTTTGTTGTTGTGTTTGGTTAATTCATAGTTTTTTTCTCATAAATTTAAAGTAAACAATAGCTAAACTATGGTAAATGTCTTGTATATGTAGCTCTATACACGTATATACATATATACTATGTGTAATATATAATTTGTGTTTGTGTTTTGCTTAATTTAATTAATTTTACTTTTTGTTTGTTTGTAATTGAACAGCAATTTTTGATAGCAACAGTTTCGGTTTGTTCAACTTTTCCAAGTCAACATTATAACAACCTATGGAAGCAATTTTTGTATACCCACATACATATATTATATATTTTAATAGATTCATAGTAATTTTAGTTGTATTTTTTGATTTTTCTTTTCATAAATTTTAATATTTGGATTTTGTTGCAAAATGTTCAAATATTTTTTTTTATTTTAACACTTTGTAATTTTTTGGAACGATATGCATATATACATGTTTAAGTACATGTGTATATATGTACATATATATATATTAAATAACCATAACTTAATTTTTTGAATTTTTTTATGCGATTTTAAAACATCATCGAGTGTTTGCCATGCAAGCGATTTTGAAGTAAAGATGTATTGAAAATATTTTGAAAATATTCTCTTTTTGACACCGTAAAGTATCTTTGTTGTTGTTTTGAATGCGCTAATTAATGGTATTTGGGCGAGTGTGTCACTTTGGGCGGCGCTGTGTGTTTTGCAAATGATATTCATGCATATAAATTATTTCGTTTGTTTTAGTTGTATTCAAAAAAAATTTAAATAATTTTTGAAAATTTATGAAATTAAATTATTTTCGCTGTAACAAAAAATTTTTTGTGTATCAAATTTGCGAAAGAAATATGTTTTTGATTAAAACTTTTAATGTAAATTCATAAAAAGAGCAGTTTGTTTAAAAAAAAAATTACCAAATATTTCAAAATAATTAATAAAATATTTTAATTTATTTTTGTGTTGCTTGAAGTGACGAGTTTTAGAGTTTCTACTCAAAATTTCCTCTCAACTTAATCTCATTTGCTGCCAAAGTATTTTAGCATTAAGTTGTATTTGTTTTTGACATTATTTTAGGCGTAGCTTAAGATATTTTCTAAAATATAATAAAATTTTTCAAAAAAAAAAAAAACAAATCGAAAAAAAGAAATAAATTTATAAAATAAAAATGGAATAAATTGAAAAAAAAAAAAAAAATAGATGTTCATATTGGCACCCAAAAGTCCTCGTTTTTATGTTATTTGAGCCGGAATTCCTGCACTCACACTTTTTTTTTCTATGTTTCAAAGAATAACTGACAAATAATTAATACAAAAAATACCTAAAAATTCTCAAAAAACATTTGAAAAATTTTAGAGAAAAAAATTCAGTGAACAGAATCTAACACATTGGAACAATTTACATCAGAGCTGCAACATAACGATAAATTTCCCGTTAATCAAATAAATTTCAATCGTTTCGGTACCGCTTTTACTCGAAACGAAATGTCGTCGTAAATGTTAAATCGTTAACAGATTATGTGAAGTCATTAACAGACGATGTTAAATCACTAACAGACAATGTTTAAACGTTAACAGCTAACGTTAAACGTCATTTGAATTAGGCTGTTAAATCATGATAAACTGCAATTTTAATGAATGTGAATGTTTTACATACATGTACGTGTGTACATATATGCATCTAAGAAAACTCGACCCAAAATTTTCACTCGCCTCACCGCGCAGTTCAATCGAGCTCAACTTCAATAGATCTCCCCATTTACTGTGTTAGAAATACTATTACCATATCCTGATTGACGCCGCCGGACGCACGCTGCACATTAAGTTCGCGCAGTATGGCTGCTGGTAAATTGTTGCTGTTGTTGTTGTTGATGTTGCTGTTACGGATCCCAGTGACACCACCACTGCCCAACTGCGCTACCGAGCTTGCATTAGCTACAAGACTTTTTACATTTAACGGTGGCGTTGTATTTGTAGCTGCCTCAGCAGTGGCTTGCATAAGACCGTCGTCGTTGGCTGCCTCACATTCGCTCTGTCCGCTCATTTCTATCTCGAGCTCAGATTCGGTATCGTATTCATATTCTTCCATATCGTAATCTTCGCTACCCAACAAAGCATCATCTTCGGTTAAGTCATTATCATCGTATGTATCGGTGTAATCGCCGTACACATCTAGGGGGAAGGGAAATGCTGTGGTTAGTGGATTAACGCGTTTGCTACGTAAGGACAGCTCCGCTGTGGGCATAACGTCAAGTGGCGTATTAGGTGAGAAGGGCGATGAGAGTTCCGCGTGCCAATTTTGTACCACTAACGGTGTTGTTGTTGTCAACATTGGCGTTGGGGTAGTACGTGCGATGGACTCATTCGATGATGAATTGCTTTCGGTCTACAAAGTGGTGGCGCTGCTTGTCACTATGGGTAGATCGCCGGCTTGGAGCATGTGGTGGGCGGTGTGATGATGATGATGTTGTTGCTGTTGTTGATGTGCAGCAGCTGCTGCTGCGGCCGCCTGTTGTTGTTGTTGTTGCTGCTGCTGCTGTTGTTGTTGTTGGCTCATTTTAGACTCTTTCTTGATGCGTTGCTTGAGATGTACCTTTGCGTGACGTTTCTTCTCATCGGATCGAGCAAATTTGCGACCGCATATGTCACAGGAGAAGGGTTTTTCGCCGGTATGGGTACGTATGTGCGTTGTGAGATGATCGGAACGGCTAAAGGAACGCATGCAAATGCGACACTGGAAAGGTTTTTGTCCGGTATGTATACGTATGTGGCGGGTGAGCTCATCGGAACGTGAAAAACGGCGATCACAATTCTCGACGGGACAGGCGTAGGGTCGTTCGTGTACGGGTGTTTTACTCGGCCTATTTGGGTACTTGCGTGGCTTGACTGGCACCAGCTTGAGCGGCATGGTGCTCTGTTGGTACACCTGCGATAGAATCTCATGACCCTTGCTGGTTGACGGACTGTACTCAGCCAACTGCACAACAGAGTAGCCAGATTGACTGCCTTGCGCTGATGGTGGTTGCATATGATGCGGTGGTGTGGGTTCCGAATATGCCTCTTGCTTTGGAATGATTCCGCCTATTATGGACGTTGCTGCTGCTGCTGAGGATGCAGTGGATGAAGGACCGGGCACAACCAGGGACTGCTGTGCGCCACCATATTCGGCTGGCGAATTGAGCCAATGGTATTTGGTCGCAGCAATCGACATTTGCTGATATTCATGACTGGTTTGCGCTTGTTGGATATCCGCTAGACTGGTGAAGCTGCTGGTGCTGCTATAACTGGGTGGTGGTTGTTTCATTATAATCGGCGAACAGTCCATATTGAGACCGATTAACTCAACATGTTGCGCTGCTGAACGCCCATCATCATAGCCACCGGTATGCATATGATGCGAGGGTGATGGCGTCGACGACGGCTGCGCCACAGATTGTTGGGCGGCATAATGAGCTTGAGCGGTACTCTGTGGACCAGGACCGAGTAAGCTGAATATGGGTGGCTGGAAGAGGGTTTTATCGGGGCTGGGTAAACCCCAACTATTGCCAAGACCGGCGCTCGGTGGTGACATTTGGCCGGGCAATACGCTCAATTGCGGGGAGCCGATTTGTTGTTGTTGTTGCTGCTGCTGTTGCTGCTGCTGCTGCTGAGTAGCTGCAGCGGCGGCTGCGACAGCTGCAGGATTCAGTCCGCTCATTGTTGTTGTATTACCTGTAGTGGTGAAAATGCCACGATATGATATTTTGCCGCTATTGCTATTGCTAGTTGCATGCGTCTGTTGTTGTTGTTGTTGTTGTTGCTGCTGTTGTTGGTGTTGTTGCGCATGCTGTTGTTGTTGTTGTTGTTGGTGGTGGTGGTGGTGATGATGGTGATGGAGTTGGTGTGCGTGTGTGTGATGAAGACCATGGTAGTGTGGGTGCGTTTGTTGTTGTTGTTGTTGCTGTTGCTGGAGGTGTTGTTGTGTGTGGTGACTATTGTGTTGTATATGTTGTTGTTGTTGTTGCTGCTGCTGTTGCTGTTGGTGTTGTTGGTGTAGGCTGCTATGGTGTGTAATTTGGTTTTGTTGTTGCTGTTGTTGCTGCTGTAAGTGATGTTGTTGTTGTAAATTATGTTGTTGCTGTACATGATGTTGATACTGATGATGAGGAGAGTGTTGGCTCGTATGCTGTTGGTGTTGTTGCTGGTGTTGTGGATGATGTTGGGAGTGTTGTTGTTGTTGTTGTTGTTGTGTATTACTTTGTGTATTTGTATTTGCTGTATTATTATTATTATTACATAATGTTGTGCTTGTTGCGGCTGTTGTTGTTGATGTTGTAGTCTGATTCTGATTCTGACTTAGATGTGTAGTAGGGTACATGGTACAACTATTATTACTTGTTTCTTCCTTGACAATTGCCAATGTTGGCGGCGTGCTGCGCTCCTCCTTCAATGGGCTGCACACCAACACCGGACTGGCTGTCGGCTGTGGTTCGAGAGATAAATCCTCGGATTCGATGGAACCTGTAAAGAGTTAGAGAAAATTGCTTATAAATAACGGTTTATTATTGAAATATGCTTTCTTAATATCAGCACATGACAGAGAGTTTCTTAAAATAAATCACAGAGAAGTTACATTTCTTTCTTCAACCTGTTATTTACAAACAAAAAAAGTCTTCTTCATCGACCCCATCCATTCTAGCAATAATAAAGAACAAAAATAAAAATCTCGAAAAAGAGTCAACTTACTTAACATGCTCCACCCAGCTGCCCGCTATCAATTAATTTCGTACAACTGCAAACTGCAAACTTAATATTCATTCAGCATTTTTCGCTCGCTTCTCCACGAAACGTAGAAAAAACCAAGATATCCATGGCAGGGAGATTTCTGCGAATGCCGCCCAGTAGCTGCCGAGGCAACGCCGTTCGACGAACTTGACTGCTCGGATTGACAAAAATCAAAATGCCAAAAGGCAAGCGGCAAGCGGCAAGTGGCAAGTGGCAATGGCAATGCCAACTCAGTGGCAGCCAGCCAGTCAACCAGTCAGCTGGACGCTCCTCGATTCGCGAGAAATCAACACGGGAGGTCGACTGCAGCCGCTTGAATTGCGATAAAAGAAGAAAACATCAAGCGCCGGCAGATCATTCATTGGAAAGCAAACCAAGCAAAGTAATGCCACCAACGGCAGCAAACATCTGAACAACAACAAGTGTGTTGGCTATAATGTGGCAATCAACGATGGCAAAAGCATTAAATGGGCGATTGGTGAAGGAAAAAAGTGCGAATGAAGCATATAACATTGATGTGCAGAGAAGACTAATTACACTTCGAACACCCAACCACTACCATCATATCGACTCTTTGGTTTGTTCATCATGTTTCTTTCTCATATACTTCTTTTGCTGTTGCATATACGCTTTTTTCTCGCCACATATTGACATTTTGCGGTGTGTGTGATTGTTGCATTGAATTGATTGAGTTGCAATGCGCTTTTAATGTGTCTTGACATCAATCCTGCCGTTGCTGTGAGCAGCATGTGAACACTTGTTGGAATGAGTCTAAGTGCCAGTTCGAACACATGTCCACATACCGTCTCCAATAATGCAATCAATGTCACTACGCTTGTTGTTGTGGCATGCAGAATTCAAAGAATGGGACTTCTTCGCATTTCAAGCGCAGATTTTTTCTCTTTGATTACCGTCACCGAGTGATTTCATTGCGAGTGTTTTTGTTTACAGTTTTACCATGTATGCGTGTGTATGTCGAGACTGTGGCTTATTAATGCTTTTATCGGGATTTTTAACTTTTTTTAAAAAATTATAACGAATCATTGGAATTAATATACAAAGTTTCATTTTAGGGTCTTTAGAAAGAGAAACGTTTTCCAGTGGGAGCTAAATATTATTAGAAATAAATCAATTAACATCCCCAAGAAAATAACAATAAAAAGCTGTTCTAAAGGAATTAACAAAAATTTATTTCTACAGCGAAAACGTAACACTTAATTAAAATATTATTTTTATATATATATTATATTATTATATTTTTAATTCAAATAACATAGAATAAAGCGAAATAAAAGAAATAAAAATAAAATAAAATAAAATAAAATAAAATAAAATAAAATAAAATAAAATAAAATAAAATAAAATAAAATAAAATAAAATAAAATAAAATAAAATAAAATAAAATAATATAAATTAAAATTAAATTAAATAATATAAAATAAAATAAAATAAAATAAAATTAAATAAATATTATAAAAAAAGCTAAATAAAACAAATTACATATATCAAATTAAATTAAGTTAATTAACTTGAAAAAATTTTAAAATTTTGCAAATTTTTTTTATGTTTTAAGTGCGCATTTACACATACGTAAGGAGTATCAAAATAAAAAACCAAAGTGTGAATACCCTTTCTTACGCATTAGTTGCATCAATTGATTCATGGTCGCATTCTTATCAAAGGGCACTAACGAGTTTTGAGTAATTTTTGCATCAATAATTTTTCAGAGAATTTATTACATAATTAAATTACTTCCAAAGCGTTATCATAAGCGCCAGCAGAATTTTTAAATAAATTCACATACACATATATATTTATATATATGAGTATACTGGCACGTCATAGACGTTTTCTCGCAAGCAAAAAAAAAATTCCCTCTGTTGCATATTTCAATAATTTCCAAAGAGAAATTAAAAATAAAAAATAAAATTTACACACACATATACGCGCATGTATTTGAATATTCCGTTTTGCTAATAAATTATTATAAATTGCCAAAATTTTATGGCTTATTTTCAGCTAATAAATACGCAAAAGCATCATTACGTACATGCTATGCATGCTATGTATGTATCCCTCGTATGTACGTCCTTTAGACAAGCAGAGTTCATTGCGTCCAGTTGAGTTAATATCGTTTTATTGTTCTTAATGCACTTTGAAATTTGTTTGGGGCTCTTGCCAGTTTATGACATGAAAAATGTCTCCAACGCTGCCAAGTTTAGCGATTAAAAGCGAGTATATCATTGTCAACAACACAATAAGACGAAGCAGAACAAGTTGAAATAAGAGTTCAAAGCAAAGGAAAAAAAGTTTGCGTTTTAACGAAATATTTGCAATTCCTAAGACTCAAATGCATTAAAAAAAAAAAAAAAGAAAAAAATAGAAAAATAATGGAGCAAGAAATCATGGAAATTGGCGGCTGACGACTACTGAGAGCGTCGGAGAAAGGAAAGAAAAACGTATTACAAAATAACGGCTTTGAGTAAAATAAATAATTCAAAATTCAGTGAAGCACATTCAAATGAGACGTAAAGCAGCGAGCGATATTGTTTGGACCGGATTGGCTAAAGTGCTTGGCTGCACATACATACATACATACATACATACATACATATTTTTGGTAATTTAATGGGCAAACACTATGACATACATACAAGCAAACTTTTTGACAAAATTATATCTTTCAGTACGTGCATATGTGTGTATATATGTGTATGTTTATACATATTTGCCACTCTATAAAAATTTTCCATAAACAATACAATATTTTCAAATTGCGTGGGGGATGCCAAAAGATTTTCTTTCCGTTGCTATATCACAAAGCATTGTTGCTGTTGTTGTTGTTGCTGATGCTGTTGTGACCATTGCTGCCGCTACTGATTTTCGAAATTAAATGTTGTGTAAAATTTATGATGACAGCAACTTTTTTATGTATTTATGCATAGCTAATAAATGTATTTTATATTATTTGCTTTTTTGTTATTTTCTTGTTCTTTTTTCATTGAGTATTTTTTTTTTTTTTGTTGAAAAACGTTTTTGTGTTGAAAATTGTTTTAATTTTTTCAATTTTATATCTATACGCGCTTTTATTTATTTGCGCATATAATATATCATAAAAGTTTATAATTAAGAAATATTAAGTAATTAATTGCTCTTGAATGCTGGCATTTTTTTCATTTTTTTTCAAAAATATATGAATTACATTGTAGCTAATTTTAAACTTAAGTGGCTATAAAACCGCGACGGCATGTAGAATATGATGTGAAAAGGCAATAGCGTAGGGATTTTGTTTGTAAATAATTTTTTTTTAAATTATTTCGTTTGGTTTGACTATTTACTAAAATCAAATATTAAAATTATAAGAAATTAAAAAAACGAAACTGAATTTTTTTTTTTTAATTTTTTTTATTTATTTTTAATTTTTTTCGAAGATAACTACATTATGTATTAAATATTTAGCGGTTTTCCTATAAGAGATATTACTTTTTACTACTAAAATCACTATAAAATTGGTGATACCCTGACAGAGGCGGGGAGTAAAAGCCAAACATTTTGTCGGCCATCGTAAAGCACCTTTTTGGACCTCAATACCGGCTTAAGCCAAGCAAAACTGTCGCATCTGAGGCTTGAAAACCCCGATTTTTGTGGTTAAAAAGGCTCCCCATCCTCAACGTGTAACTGTCTGTTTGGTGCGGTATATGGTTGGATGGGATCATTAGAACTTACTATTTTGAAAATGAGGTTGGAGTAACAGTTGCGGTGAATGCAACATAACAGCCATAACTTTCATCAGGACGGCACTACGTGCCTCGCAAACAACGAAACCAACGATCTTTTAAGGGAAAAGTTTCCGAACCGTGTTATCTCTCGAAAAGGTGAGGGCAATTTGTCACCGTGTAATTGTTATTTAACACCTTGAGAATTATTCCTTTGGGGTCACGTGAAAGGTAATACCTTAAAGTAGTAATTTGTGAAGCTATTGAGACAACCTGGCGATTTGGTGATGGATAATTTCATAAAAAGGATACGGTGTTGTACATTGAAATAAACATCCGATCATTTAACTCAAAAAATGCCATTTTCCTTTGAATATCAATATATGTAACACTTCTGATTGGAAAACAGTGTATATATACATGTAAATATACGGTATATATGTATATAATTGATATGTTATTAATTGATTGTTATAATTTTTTTTAATGACCTGTTTTATTTTGCTACTTTGATGCAGCTTAAGTATTTTAATTTACTTTTATAATTTTTACCAGCGAAAACGTTGCCTACATCTAGGTGTGCATTGTCATTTTTTCTCAACTTTATATTATATATATTTTTTTAAGACGGTTTTTATTTAAAAATTTTATTACTGAATTAAAATTAAATTAGAATAAATTAAATCTTTTTTACTTAAGCTAGCAAAAAATTTTTAATTTATTTTGGTGTTCACAAATATTTAATAATTGCATTATTTAAAAAACATTCTCACTCTTATTTAAAATATAAATTGTGAAAATTATTTCTGATTTGGTTCCATTGCATATTTTTTGCCTTGCAAATTTTTCTACCCATTTTATATTTATATAAATTTTTTTAATACAATACCCATTTGTGTGGTTATTTGGACTTAGCAAGAATGTAGGCAACTTTTTTTTCTCTTTATTATTATATTCATTTTCATAAATATGGCCTACATTTGGGCGTTAGAAAATATTTAATATTTGTATTTTTATGATAAAACCCTTTTAAAATGAAAGCAAGAATTATTGAAAAAAATTTAAATGTTTGCATGTAAAATCTAGGAAATGGCTGCTACTTTTTAGAAATTAAAAATAAGCAAATCATTTTAATTTCACACATAATATTAGCTCGTCTAGCCTGCACTTGCGTGCTATGGAAATTGTAATGAAATTTGTATTTCCTTTCTGAAATTGCCACCATCAATTAAATTCAATTTGTGGCGCTTTTTATTTACACATTTCTGGACATTTATTATGAATGTATGCAGCTTGTTTTGCATTAAAATTTATCAAACAAAAAAATAAGAAAAAATTGAAACAAATAAAATTACTAGTTTTTCTGATAAAAGAGAGTGGACTTGGCCTGAGAGGCTGCTTGCATATTAATTCTACTTACATATGTAGATGTGTATGTACATGTGTATGTTGGAGTGTGCATATGACCGTATCAAACATGCTCCTTAATTCAATTAGAATGAATCCCTCATCTTCTTAGCATCATCATTACTTGCACGAGATATACTAAAACAATATACGTTTATTTGTATGCAGGCACTGAGAAGCAAGTAGTGATAACGACACAGAATGCCTGTGGAAGCATTGACACTGAACGGAAATGTTTAATAGTACATATGACACGATTAATTAATACCGTTACTACAATGATAAAGCTGATAAAATGTGCGACAGTGGCGCATAAAAGCATGGAGTAGCTAAAATATATATGTACATATATATATTTACATAATATACATTTGTTTTTTTTTTATTCAAAATTAATTTTTTTTTAAGCAAGTCATGAAACTTTACTTGAAAATATGCTCTCAAGGAACTATATTAAGAAATTTTTTTCCAATATTTGCCGCATCCGGTAGCAGTCATATTTATTTCAAAAATATATTTTTCTAAAATTGAGTCTTATATTATATTTATTATAAATGGCACTGGTGACAACAGATTTTGATCTCAAGGGAGCTTTTTAATAATTATAAAATTATAAATATCATGCGATAATTTACTAGGCGACATAAAAACTTCGCACCACAATTTTTCGAAATATTTTTTTAACCTAATAAAATTTGGTGGAACATAAAAATGAAAATAGTTTTTACGCTAATTGCTCAAAAAATGTTTATTTTTAATTTTTTTTTAGTATTTGAAAAATATTTTTTTTTATTTTTCTTTTTTTTGGCTTTTAAATGTCACGTAGCCACATTTATCAGCGAAAATGTAATTCCAAGCAGCTGCTTTAAATTTATTATAATCTTTTTTCGAATACTCATAAGCAGACAAATCACTCAGCAATGCCAAAATAAATAGGCGCGTATGTTGTAAAAATTAACTAATAACTTTACAACACCAAAAAAAAAAATTAATGTTATTTTTACAAAAAACCAAAAAAAAAATTTAAATTTAACTAAGTTGAAAATACTTGCTGCATTGTGATTATTGTTTTCTTTATATACGAAAAACATGAAAACAAGCGAAAAACAATTTAAAAGTGAAAACATGAAAACAACATGTTTTAACAAGATCTTAAGTGCCCTTAGCACAATACTCGAGTGCCGAGAAGTGTCTTTTCTTCAGCGGTGCGCCAAAAAAATAAATACATACGTATATACGAGTGAGTATGGCCATGCACATATACAAACATATACATATATGTGAGGTAAACAACGGAAATCACAATGAAAGACTTTGCTTTAGAAAAAATACATATGTATGAAATGTTTGGTATATAAATAAATAAATAAAAAAATAAAAAATATTAAGGCATGATCAGTCAAAAAATCAAATCACGAAAATAAGATTAAAACCCAAACGCTTTTCGTACAAGAAATTTCGCAATGATATTTTTTGTTCTTGTTGTAAGTAAATATTCAACATTTTTCATACGTGTAATGGTCCATTTGAGCTTAATTCAGTTTCAGAGTTATTCTGTTATTACAAAAAAAAAAAAAAAAAAAATCGACGGCTATCAGTTTAGAGTAGAGAATAATAATTTATCTTCATTATTGAACATTATTTAAAAAATAATATTATTTAAAAAATAGTGAAACCTTGGCGGCCGTAGCTTGAAAATTTCATACAAAACTTGGTCGAGAGACCGCAAATTTCACAATTCCATTACTGGCTAATTCCTGCTGACAATTCTCACCGAACTGATTGAATATCAAAACAGTTTGTCGATGACAATTCAGGAATCTCAATTTGGCGTTCTGCATAAGAAGTGCAAGCTTCAAGAAGCTCTATGCAGCGTGGATTATTAGTTTCAAGTAAAATCAAAACCATCTTAATCAATGAGCTACATATTTACCTTCATAGACTTGTTATTTGCCAAAATTGCCGCTTTTGGGATTCTCAGAATTTTTATTAATTTTGATAAACACATGCACTTTTTTTTAAATTTACTTTTGTAATGTTTTGTTATTTAAAAAAAAATGCGTTTTTTGCCTATCTCCTTGGCATATGATTTGCTGCCTTGATCTTTAGTCCTTCCGGGCAATTTTTGACTTTTTTTGCAGTTTTTTGTATTAATTAAATTTTTATTTTGTTTGTGTCAAATATAACAAAAAAAAAGTTTTGAGAATTTGAATTTGTGATAATTAATTAATACACCAATATGTCTGTGCTTTATAAGCAAAGGAAGCGAGTCGGGTTATGCTCATAATAATTTATAGGGAATTAAATAAATTATCTTAAAAGAGGCATTCGTTAATACTCTCGCCCTATCACGACTGAACTACATTAAATTCCTAATGGAGAATTTCACGCAAAAATATAACTGTTTGTTTATTTTTCTTAATAACAACGCTTACCTGTTATTGGTGGCGGCTCAACGATGGTTGATGGTCCGAAGAATGATGGAATATCGTTGGATGTGGTGACGGGCGTATTCAGATCGCCCGTCTGTGTATCACAGCACTGCGCGTCCGACGGCAGTGACTGCGACTGCTTAACACTGTTTGCTATATCTACGCCACTGCTGGCGCCTACGCCGCCTAATGTTGTCGCCGCGTGACCACCCGGACTATGTTGTGTGGTATTGAGTAGACTCAAATGTGTAGCAGAGTTGCGTCCGCTGCTATTATTGCTGTTATTACTACTCGCACTGACTGCAGCGACGGTTGGTGATTGCTGTGTTAATGTGATTCCAGCAACGTTTGTTGTTGCTGTTGGTGTGCAACTATTGTTGCTACTATTACTGTTGCTGCTACTGTGATTATGACTGCTGCTCTGGTTGCTGTTGTTGTTGGCAACACTACCGATGCGTGTAAAATTTGTGCGTGATAAACTAGCGCTTAGGGCTGAATTAGTAGCTGCTGCTGCTGCTGCTGTCGCTGATGCAGTAATATTACTGGTTGTGGCTATACTGCTACTCGTATTTGTGCCGCTACACGAAGCAATGGCGCTCTGATGATTGCTATTCGCCGCAGAGAGATTGTAATGGAGTAAGGTTTGGGCGGCACCTAAGTGGCCACCACCAAACGTGTGCGATGGGGTACTGAGATATGTGGCCGCCGATGTGGCCGCTGTCGATGGACTAGTCTGGGCGGTGGTTTTGAAGAGACACGTATCGAAGCTCAACACATTGAAGTGTGCGGCGGCGGCGGATTCGGTAAGTAGGAATGCGTGATGCGATGGCGCCACAAGGGTTTCAAGCCCTTCCATGATCATGGCCGCTGATGGGGTTCCAGGGGCTATGCCACCTAAAATTGTAGAAGAAAAATAAAATTGAATATTTGCTTTTGAGTTAAGAGGGGAATAAATTAATTATATAAAATTAAAATAATGCGGCATTATGCATGCATATATGTATTACAATATATATTATTACTAATGCATAGAAGATTGAAGAATTTAAAAAAAAACTGATGTTAAAAATTACAACTGATCTAAAATGAAAAAAATTAAATAAGATAAAATAAAATAAAATAAAGTAAAATAAAATAAAATAAATTAAAATGAAATAAAATAAAATAAAATAAAATAAAATAAAATAAAATAAAATAAAATAAAATAAAATAAAATAAAATAAAATAAAATAAAACAAAATAAAATAAAATAAAGTAAAATAAAATAAAATAAAATAAAATAAAAAAATTAACTTAAATTCAATAAAATGAATTAAGATAAAATAAAATAAAATTATATATATTAAAAATAAAAATTAAATATTTTTAACAGGAGAGGAGATCATTTTATTACACTATTGTGTGACAATAATTTCTTGTGCTGTATCACTACTATGCAAGACGCCTATAACTTGAAAGATTTGTAAGTTGCGGTATGACTACATAAATGAAAGGCTTGACTGTAAAATAAATGCAGTGTCTATTTAATCTCACTTGTTTTCGTTACCATTTGCGTTTGAGGTAGGCACAGCTTTGTTCTTAAAACGTTGCCTACATTTAGAATATTATAAGAATGATAAAGGGAATATTCAATAATTTTATATATTGTATGCAAATTATTTGCCTAATGGAAGCATATAAATGATCTAACCCACATTTATATTAGATCAAATGTCAAAATCCCAACCATTAAATGTTTGTTAATTGAATTGCTGTGACAGCAATTAGACTTTTATACACCAAAGCTAAGTAAGTTTCAGATGACTATTGCAATTAAAACAAAAAAAAAAAACATTATAAAATTTCAACTGCTGTTCATTTAACCATACAAGCGGCTGAGGTAAGAGCAGCTCATGCAAGCGCCACATCTGTCATTCATATGCACATACGCACTTTTGTATGAATGTATGCACATTTGTACAGTCGTATTTATTTTTTATTGCATTATTTACGATAGCAAAAACAACTCAACTAAATGATATCAGACATTAAATGGACGCAGAATTAACGCTTTGACATCGTGCACCCACACGCGGCGGCGCACGCAATTTCACACTAAGCTGCGAGCCAACGATCGTGCTGACGACTCGAAAATGTGCCAGCGAAAAAAGCAAGTGTTTAGATGTAATAGTTGTTATTATTGTTTTTTTTGTTTTTTTCCAAAACACAATTAAATTAAAATCGATTAAGCATTTAACAACAACTGTTCAGCAACTAAGTGCAGAATGTGAATTGATATATATGTTTATGTAATAGATATATGATATATACGTCAGAAAGCGGTTGGCTACAAATGTATGTATATATCTTTATATAATATAAATGTATATATAAATATGCCCCAGTTCCCATAATGCTGTTTTGGCAAACTCTTCACCAGGCGTTGTTGTTTTTATCTTTAAAGTGATCAACACTGACCCACTTTTCACACAGTTGAAGCTGTCAAATGGTATCTGTAATATGCATTTGTATGAAGATGAGTGTATATTTGGTTATGTGTTAGCAAAAATATGTATTTACAAATGAAAATTTGCCAAAAACATGCGCGCATGCGCATCAATTACCTCCCAAAAGTCCAACTAAAATCGCATGCAAACCATTTTATGTGCACGTACGCGTACGAGTTTGTACATACATATGTATCTATATATGTATATATGCATTCAAATCGATATTTTTGTTGTCACATTGCTTTTTTTTGGCAATTAAAAAACAGTAAAAACTGTTACTTGACAATTTACTTTGCAATGAGACATTAATTTGCCATTATTTATACTTCAGTCACATGCACACATACTTACGTGCGTATACGAAATATAAAGACGTGTATACTAATATTATGGCATTAGAACGAAGCTTAGCTTAGCGGCTCAGTTTCGCAGACGTTGGCGCGGGCGGTTGCATTTTGTACAAAAGAGCATGTATGTATTATATACATATTTATGGTGTTTATATGCATTAATGTGGTTCGGTTATTAAATTTGTTAACTATAAAAATTTTAACAATTTTTTTATTTAAAAAAGAAAAGACGTATAAATTATTATTAAAATAATTAAATACATATATACGCTTGTAGTAAAAGGCGGAAGAAATGTCATAGTGTTATTCTATTTAGGGATCACCTTAATACACCGTAGACTCATCTCAAGTGCTGATGTCACTAATTTAATTTCTTGCGTTTAATTGAATTTCACTAGACATCTTTTTTATTAATTTAATTTTTTTGTGCAATAATTCAAGTGACTAATTGCAAAATTGTTAGCTAAAAATACATTTTTTTTTGGCTATTGATGGAACGGTTGATTTACCAACAAACATAGTGAAAAATCGCTTTAAAGTTGTTGAAAACTCCACATATCCGAAAGCTTAACATAATCAATTATTAAAAAATTCAAAACTAGTTCGAGCTATAATATTTTCTGAAATATGTTGGCAACAAATTGTTGCATGCATTTGATGTGTTTGACGTTGCAATTACATAAGCCTTCTCTTTCTCTCAACGTTGGTCAGTTAGCACAGACACTCGCAGGTGGTGTCACCATAGCAACAGCAGCATTCACGTTATTATTATTCATTAACTCAGCAACACAAGTACCTACATACATACTAACACACATATATACACACCTATGTACTTACACCCGTGAATATTTGCATATACTCGTATGCACATAAAGCAGCTCAAAACTCAAACGTCGACCTCAAACTGCTACTCATTTCACATAATTTATTTTTTATTTTTTGTTAAAAAATTTTGCTATTATTTAAGCGCCTCCAAACACACACATATACATATATAAATGTATACATTGACGTATGCATATACAATACATATCTTTAGAGCAGCATTTTCGCAATCGCTTGCTCTTCCTCGCGTGAAGTGCACTTAATGTCAGAATCTCAACACTAAAATAACTACTGTGCGCATTTATTTATTTAAATTACAACAACAAAAAACATATATATTTATTTAGCGTGTACGAGTTATTCATTGTCGGAATAGTTGTGAAGTGCGTTGGCGCACTTATGTTTGATCAACAACAAAAAGTGAAACCGAAGTGTGTGCAAAAAAAATTTTTTTTTCTTGGAATCTCAAAAATGATTTTACTGTTTTCAATTTTTCAGTCGCAGTAGAAATGATGAATGATTTAATGGTAGTTTAAGGTTTTGCAATAATAGCTGATATATTTAAAAAATTTTCGGTCATTTAAACAATGAGGTTGAGTTTAAGTTTTTCCTTTCGAAAAAACCATGTTACCGTGGTTTGGAAGCTCACACTGCATATTCAACAAAGTTTTGAATCAGAGTATAAATATAAATAATGTACATAACTTTATTAATTTAACCAATATAAAATAAAATAAAATAAAATAAAATAAAATAAAATAAAATAAAATAAAATAAAATAAAATAAAATAAAATAAAATAAAATAAAAAAAAATGAAATAGAATGAAATTAAAAAAAAATTAAATGAAAGAAATCAAAGAAAAATAAAATGAAATAAAAGGAAAAAAATATTATGATATAAAAAAAAATAAATTAGTAAAATAAAATGAAACAAAAAAAAAAAAAAATAAAAAAGGAAAATATAAGATAAAATGAAATGAAACAAAATAAAATGAGATATATAAAAGAAAAATTAATAAAATAATAGAAATTAAAATAAAATAAAATAATATAAGACAAAGGAAAATGAAATAAATTAAAAGAAAACAAAATGAAATAAAAGAATCGAATTAATTAAATTAAAAAATGTTAAGATAATAATAAGATAAAAAATAATATGAAATAAATTAAAATAAAAGAAATTAAATTAATATTTAATATAAATTTCAAAAATATTCACACTAAACGATTTCCCGTAAAATCTGGCTTCCACTCAGGAGCATTAGTTACAGTACGAAACAGATTTTTGGGAATATCACGCATCTAAATACATGCATACTCGTATAACATTATGATATATTGGGATAGTTTTTTTTTTATAAAAATATGTGAAAATATTATTTAAGTTCATATTAAATTAATTTAATTAAATTAATGCTGGTTTACTCTTTTTCCATAATTAATTGTAAATAAATTTTATACTTTCTGCTACTTTCGCAAAATCTCTTGCCGCACACGCTCGCATTTTTTCTTCATTTTTTCTCATTCATACCCAATAACCTGACACACGGATTAACTGATAAGCATCAATTTAAACAGTATCAAATTAATGTATGTGTATACATCCATACAAATTAAAATATACAACTCACAAAAAAAAAAAAATAAAAAAAGTGTTGACGATTAAAAGTTATAAAAAAGCAATAAAATACGAAATCACTTTGAATAGCTCAAATGCAGCAACAACAATGAATGAAAGGAATATAATTCATTCACATTTGTGATAAAACCAGCAAAGCTTGATCGAATGTGTACACATACATATCTACAAATATTTCTTATTATACACACATACAAATACACGCTCATAACCAAGCCCGATTGAGAAAAAACCCAAAACACAAAATATATATTTATATATATTTTTTTTTCAAACAATAAAATTTGTATTTCAACAATAAAAAAAAAGTAATATACAACAACTAAAATTGTACATATCACACAATGAATCACCTCATACACTCAAGCGCTATACGAGTTGTATTATATGTATGTTATATAAAAGAGCGCATACAGAGCATGCTGATCTTCTTATAAGAATCGCGAGTGTATATCTAAACAGACGTTTCTAAAGTAGACATACATACAGACAGACAGACAGACAGACAGCAAAGCTGCGTTTAAGCTAAGCTCAGCTGAGTTGTGTTAAAAGAAAAAGTTACGGCAGCAACGCGTGTGTAGGTGATT